TCTTAATTGATTTTTATCTCACTCTTAATTGATCTCACAATCCTCCCCCTCGAAATATGGCATAAACTTTACTGCCATAATTTTGAGAACTATTCGGAAAACCTGTGAACGAGAAGACACTTATGACTTACTTCATTCACATGATTATGTCATGCAAATAAAGTTATTTCTTAATTCGTATAGGAGTACACTTTCCTTATTCCACTTCAAAAACTCAACGATGTCTTTTATTAACAGTACTTTTGCAAGTCACGCTTGCACGTTTTTCTTATCCTTTAGTTAGTATTGACCATGACAGTGTTTTTTCTATTGTGCCATGGTCAATACTAGGATAGCATAAGAGTTACCCTAACTTCTCTCGCTATGCGGGATAAATCTATATACAAACACGCATGCTTAATCCAACGTTGGTCAAATTAGACATGTACGTTACTTATTGTAACTTTTATCATAATAATGGAAAAATATATACTATTTACTGTAACGAAAACTTAGTCATGACGACCAAAACATTCACTTCTACTTTATTTTTCAATTAAATCTCTTCGTTGGTTCCAATTTAATCAGAAAATTAATAAACTAACAAAAAACAGTCCAAAACTAGCTTAACTCAAGCCTTTTTATTCACATAGCCCAGCATTGCAGCCTCTTCACGCAGCCGAGTGATCTCGTCGGTTAAAATAAAAACATACAAGATGTTTCTGCATCAATTCTACATCATCGTTGGGCAGAAAATAAAATTAATGCATAAAACTCATAAATTAACTTGAAAGACATATAACTGCTCTTCAAAATTAAATTCTTCCGTTGGTTCGAATTTAATTAGAAGATAATCAATATCATTGTAGTGGAAATATGAGAATAAAATGCATTCTATTAGTTCAGTAGCATTTCTTCGTCCTTATCTACTCTCTAAAAAATTAACCATGTTGGTGTAAAATTTATCAGAGATTTAAACTTCAAACTCAAACTCATAAATAAAAAATTATAATATTACTATCATCAACTTTCATCGGAAAAATAGTAATATCATAAATACAATATTCTTCTATATTAATTCTATATCACCGTTGGACAGAAATGGAATTAATACATGGAAAAACTCATTAATCAACTTATAATATGATTATCATCGACGTTGGTCAGAAAATAACAATATCATAAACCTGTAAATCAAATTTTTTTACTCCCTCTACTTTAGTAAAGTTGTTCTAACTTTTCTAGATATATAATTTTCATATATTTGGATATATTATATATTTAGGTGCACAGTAAAACTTATGTATCTGGAGGCCGGACGAAGACTTGGAAGTGGAGGGAGTAATCTGAGCTTGAACCCCTTTTGAGGACGATGGTCTATGGTTGGGTCTGCTACGGCCTGTTTGTTCTCTTCTTGTTCTGTTAGCTTTGTTGCCGTCCTGGAACGTAACTGCTGGAGTGCTGGTGGTGGTTTAGGCGAACTCAGCTTTAGGCGTCTTTTTTATGGGCACTGTTTCACATTTGGTTGGTGCTAGTCTTTGGTTTGTTTATGCTTTTTTGTGAGAGGAAACACCTTTGTTGGTACTTGGTTGGTTTTTTGGTTGAAACCAATGCCAAACAAACAGAACTTGTTTTATATGCAGTAACCCCAGCAGGTGTGGGTGTGAGTTTGTATCAAAACGCGTTTTCTATAAAAGTCAGGTTTTCCTCTGTCAAAAAAGAGAAAAGTCAGTACGATTTATAGTATTTATTAAATTTTACATCATTGGTTAATTTACTTTTGAAAGATTTACATCGTGATCCTACGAAAACAGGCTTTTCCTCATCGGTAATCATTTCTTGATCATCACATGGATCGGCAAGTACCACAGAAGCTTCAATCTCTGATAGTAAGCGTTCTGCTCTATGTATTTTTGCCTGAGCCTGAACATTTGAAGAGAAAAATTAAGGAACAAGTAGTGACTAACTAAAGGTACTAGAGGAGGACGGGAGGAGACAAGGGTCACATGGCGTTCAAAATGAACATGCAGAGCAACGCGGATTGGGGCTTATTAGGAGGAGCAAATTAGAGAATTGATGGAAGAGGACTAGAGGAGGCGTTGGAAATTTTTATCCCCTTGCTGCGTGTGTGCGTGCAGGCTGTGCTCGTGGCTGGTGTGCAAGCGAGGAGGACTGGAGGAGACAAGGGACTAGAGGAGGCGTTGGAAATTTTTATCCGCTTGCTGCGTGTGTGCATGCAGGCTGTGCTCGTGGCTGGTGTGCAAGCGAGGAGGACTGGAGGAGACAAGGGTCACCTGGCGTCTGCCTAGGGTGGCCCCTCACATGCAGTTTTGGCTGCGAGCCGATGCCATGGTGGAGGTGGAGGCGTGGAGCAAAACGGATCGTCGGTTCCTTGATTCCTTCCATCCGTCCGTTGACTCCGCGCCAGGCAGAATCGCGGTTCCGCGCCTCTATATAACGAAGGACAACTTCTTACCTGGCACTCCGCACTGCACTTAACCATCGATGAACACGTACAAGTACGGCCTCCAGTAACCAGTATCCAGCGACGAAGGCAACGGTGGGGCTGGGGGCTTGCAGGCCCCCCCCGGTTCACTGATCCCAGACAAGTGGAGCCCCTCCTAAGTTTTTTTTAAAATTTTATGCATATATATAATAGGTAGGAGGAGCTAAGAGATTAAGAAGAAGATAAAAACCTCTATTTCTTGTTGGGCTGAAAGAAAAATAGCTTAATCGATTGGTTAGAAGTTAGAAGCCCAACCGAATCGGCGACTCACACAGACGACTCAAGAGACACAGGCGGCGGCACGCTTCTACGCTGCTCCTCGGCGGCTCCAAAGACGCCACGCACGCCCCACGCCCTCCAAGCCAATGGCGCCAAGCAGCCGAACCGCAGCGACAAAGAAGCGGCTCATCGTCTCGCGGCCGTCCACATCCGCATCCTCCCGATCGAGCATCGGCGTCGGCTCGGCGCCTCGGATCTCGAGCGGCACTGGAGGAGCTTCGGGGCAGCGCCTCGCCTTCCTCCACCGGCACGCGCAAGAATCACCAGCACCTCGCCCTGGCGCAGCGGCTCCACAGCGTCGTCAGCCCACTGGGTCCGCCCGCCTCCGTCACTAACGCCTCCGACTGACCACGGCCGCCGCCGAGCCGAGCACCCTCGCCTCGGCGACCTGCTCGCCCGCGCCCGCCGCCAGTTCGCCCGCCGCGCCTCAAGCTGCGTGGAGAGAGATGTCGAGACGTCCAAGTCCGTCTGTCAGAGGAGGTCTGCGTCTGCGAGACTCGAGGACTCGAGCTGCCGCTGGCAGGCTCTTTGACGCTTCGCTCACTGCCCAAGCGCCCACGACGATCACGAGCATCGAGCCTGGCGGCCGGGCATCAACAAGGACGTCGAGCAGAAAGCAAATGAAAGGTCTTGACTGACGATCTGATCTCAAATTATGTCATCTCATCTACTACTACTACTACTACATCATCAATCTTACTGATCTTGACAAATTCCGAAGTAATCTTGACTAGTGACTACTGAGGACGATGTGATTGCAGACTTGCAGTGTTTTCTTTTTGACTCGGTAGGATATGCTATAACGAGAAGGAGAAATTTAGAAAGATTGATAATGAAAAGATCAAAAAGCGGTTTCAAGATATGAAAAAGCGTCGTATGTTATTGCCTAAAAAATTAGTGGTATGCTCTATTCTCTTCTAAATTCATAATTTGGCGGTCCAAATATGTTTGACTAATCAATTATGTCTATTTGTGTAGATTGCTACTTCGGATGAATAATGTGTGTCAACGTCAAGCACTCAAGCGCCGTCTATTAGTTTCGTAATTTGGCCTTTCGGTATGAATGAACAGCTTCCTTTATTTTTCATGATGTATTTTATGAATTTCATCGTTAACCAATGTTTTTAAGTCGGTGTAGCACTTTTGTTCAGTCGGGTCTAAATTTTTTCCTAGCTTCGTCCTGTTTAGCCCCTCCTAAAAATTTTTCTGGCTTCGTCCCTGCCTGCCAGTATCCCACGCAACGCAAGCAATCCATGGCAGGTCCACGCCCGGCCCCCTACCACCTGCCACTCATGCTGCTCGGCGCGTCGGTGGTCCTGCTCTCCGCCGTCGGCGAGCCGTCTGCTGTCCACGCCGGGTGCGCAATCACCGGGCTCCTGCTCTGGCTCCTCGGAGTGGCGCGCCTGCTGCTGTTCGCCACGAAGCTGCCGGGAGGAGGGAGCACCGCTGCGGTGACGTCGAAGAAGCATTGGAGCATCTTCGCCCGTGAAGACCCGGAGGAGGCCGGTCCACAGCGCCTCGGATGAACAGACGACAGTCCAGAGTCCACACTTCCACAGCTACCGCCACCGCTGTTTGCCTGTTTCGCCGAAAACAGCTACTATTCCAGTAGCAATGCTTTGTAGTTCGCCGATTGCATACTTCTTTATTTATCACTTCACCGGTTCACGTTCACCCATGCATGACCGAAAATAAATCGTGTGGCCCTTGTGACAGAACTCAAAGTGGACGGCTCAAGTTTAACTTTTCCAATCAAGTAAAGTCTCTGATAGTGATAGCTGATACACGCTCAGAATTAGGACTGAGAAACTGAGAAGAGCTTGTGCTGTTGACACGTCACAAAAAGTTTAAGGTCAATTTCGTTCAGATATCGTAGAAACAGAGCAGGCTACTTGCTTGACTAAGACTAACAATAATTCATAATAGTCGATTAATCGTCAAACTAAGCTGCAATTTTCGCAAGAATATAAGAACTCAATAGAAATTTAATGCCACAATATTGCACACAGACGGACAAACAAGAAAAAAAAAAGAATAGAAAAGAAAAAATCGTAAGGTACTTTTTAGCGAGGTCACCACAAATCAAGCAACATGGCGAATATCTTGCGGTTCTCCTCCCTTATCCGTCACCACCACGCCCAAAACCCCACACGCCCTCTCACCCCCAAATCCATGGCGCCACCGCGCTAAACCCCCCAACCGCCGGTCCCGGTCCGCCCTCTGCTCCCCGCGCTCCATGGCGCTCTCCGAACTCCCACTCCACCACTCCTTCCGCCTCTCCTCCCGCCCCACCATCCACCGCCTCTTCCCGCTCCGCCTCCTCTCCTCCTCCTCCTCCCCCCCTCCCGACACGTCTCCTCCTCCTCTTCCTCGTCCGCCGCCGCCGCGGCCTCGGCCTCCTCGCCTTCCTCCACCGGCGGCAATCGCACATCCCCACCCTCCACCAGCACCGGCGCGCCGTGGTTGCAGAAGTGGGCGCCCTCCGACCCCTCCCGTCCCGCCCCTGCTCCCGCTCCCGTCCCGTCCCCGACCACGTCCATAGACCGCATCGTCCACCGCCTCCGTAACCTCGGCCTCGCCTCCGACGACGATGACCCCTCCGCTGCCACGGCCGCCGCGCCGGCCCCCGACGGCACCGAGCGCCTCGGCGACCTGCTCGACCGCAGCTGGGCGCGGCCCGACCGCCAGTTCGCGGCCGCCAGCTTCGACGATGCCGTCCTCCCGTGGGAGAGAGACGACGAGCCCACGGGGCCGGCGAGGGACGAGGAGGACGGGGCCAAGAGGAGACGGGTCAAGGCGCCCACGCTGGCCGAGCTCACGATCGAGGACGAGGAGCTGCGCCGGCTGCGCAGGCTCGGGATGACGCTTCGCGACCGCATCACCGTGCCCAAGGCGGGAGTCACGACGGCCGTCACGGAGAAGATCCATGACGCCTGGAGGAAGTCGGAGCTGGTCCGCCTCAAGTTCCACGAGGACCTCGCGCACGACATGAAGACAGCTCATGAGCTCGTTGAGGTTTGCACCATTTTGCCCCTGCCCTCTGACTCTGATCTCAAATTATGTGGCACTCCCAGCTTGTTCGTCAAACGTCAATACTGATTAGTTTAGTGATGCAATTGTGGCAATTCAACCTGCATTGTCCAGTTAATTGCGGTGAATTTGAGTCTCACTCAGAGTTATTGGTTGTCTTCCAGAAATGGATTCCTAACACGAGTTTGTGTGCATTGATCAGCGACGCACAGGTGGATTGATCATATGGAGGTCTGGAAGTGTAATGGTGGTTTACCGAGGGAGCAATTACAAGAGACCTCTGAAATCTCAAACTCTAAATGGTGCCTCATCACCAGTGAAGGGGGAAGAAGGTGCATTATTCATCCCAGATGCCTCTAGCCCTGCTGAGAATGATGTTCAGGGAAAGGATTTGGCTGCGCAGCATGCAAACATGTCCCAGTTGAACATGCAGAATACTGAGGACATGACAGAGGAAGAGCTGGAGTTCAATCAGATGCTTGATGAGCTGGGTCCTCGTTTTGTGGATTGGTGGGGAACGGGTATTTTACCAGTGGATGCCGACTTGCTGCCTCAAACGATCCCTGGTTATAAAACGCCATATAGAGTTCTTCCGACTGGAATGCGTTCGACGCTTACCAATGCAGAGCTGACTAACTTGCGAAAGTTAGCGAGGAACCTTCCATGCCATTTTGCTCTAGGTATTGCTTTCGACGGTGTCAATGTCACTTTTCTCTGTCATAGCTTTTACCAATTGGCAGCAAACGCCTTCTTATAGCTTGCTAAACTTCATTGAAGGGAGAAACCGGAATCATCAAGGTTTGGCAGCAGCAATTGTTAAGCTCTGGGAGAAGAGTTTGGTGGTGAAAATAGCTGTCAAACGTGGAATACAGAACACAAATAATAAGATAATGGCTGAAGAAATAAAGGTTTGAATGCCATATTCTGATTTTTCCTCATTGACTGACATGACGACTTGGTAACTTTTTTTCCTGAAGGAATCTTGAAAAAATAGTTATGTCAGTTTATAACTTTGTCACAAAGCCCTGAATATAATACAAACACAGTTGTGTTATTTGAGGCAACTAAAAATCAAATGCTATCCCAGATTCTCTTAGCAATCTTATATTAAAAGACTCACTCAAAGCAAAAGGTTCCTAAAATAATGACTATAAATCAGTTTATAATTCAGTTTTTTTATTAAATATTAATAACGGAATTTTGCTTCCCATACTTGCATAGTTTGGTTCCTTTACAGTAAACTCTATCTTCCCAACATTGCAGTTGAGAATGGTTCAGTAAGGTTGCAGTAGAGAATGCTTATTTTGCTTTAGCTTTATATTCCTATGTTGAAATTTCTTATAGTTCCAAAAGCTTCTCCCTACAGATACAAATCAAGTGTGTTGATGTACCATATGTGATTTTGTATGTTCAAGCTTCATGGAATAGCTTAATATCTTACAATTTTCCTTCTCATGTTACTCAGAATCTAACAGGGGCACCTTGCTTCTTCGAAATAAATTTTACATTGTAATATATCGTGGAAAAGACTTCCTCCCAACATCTGTGGCAGCTGTGTTGGCTGAAAGAGAGGAGTTGACAAAGGATATTCAGAATATGGAGGAGCAGAGAAGAAACGTTTTGATTGCACAACCTCCGGATGATGGCTTAGATGGGCATGCTCTTGTGGGTACTCTTGCTGAGTTTCAGGTGGCCCAAGCTCGTTGGGGAAGAGAAGTAACTGCTAAGGAGCAAGAAGAAATGAAAGAAGCTTCTTCTAGATCAGAAAAGCAAAAGCTTTACAGGAAACTCGAACACAAGCTTTCCATTGTGAGCACTAAAGATTCTGTTTGTTCTTCTTGAATTACCATAGCTTGAAAAGGATAAAAGTTACCTTACATTTAAACTAGGATATTTCAATTTAGTGGTGTATATATAGTTAATATGTTGTTGTGAGGTTGACTTTCTTACCTTCTAGTTGTGCAATTCCTTTTCTGCTTCCTTTAGTTAGTCACTACTTGTTCCTTAATTTTTCTCTTCAAATGTTCAGGCTCAGGCAAAAATACATAGAGCCGAACGCTTACTATCAAAGATTGAAGCTTCTATGGTACTTGCTGATCCATGTGATGATCAAGAAATGATTACAGATGAGGAAAAGTCTGTTTTCCGTAGGATTGGTTTAAGGCTTAAGTCATATTTGCCACTTGGTAATTTCTTGAACAATTATCTTCTAACATGCTCCACAGTTTCTATTGACTGATCATTTTCCTTATGTATTTCAGGAGTTCGTGGCGTTTTTGATGGTGTAATTGAAAATATGCACTTGCATTGGAAGCACAGGGAAGTTGTCAAATTAATTTCAAAGCAGAAGACTTTGTCATTCGTTGAAGAGACGGCACGACTTCTTGCATATGAGAGTGGTGGTATATTAGTTGCAATTGAAAGAGTTCCAAAGGGTTATGCACTCATTTTTTACCGTGGAAAGAACTATAGGAGGCCTATTAACATAAGGCCAAGAAACCTCTTAACAAAAGCTAAGGCATTGAAACGTGCAGTTGCTATGCAACGTCATGAGGTTAGTTTGCCTTATGAAAGTAGAGTTTTTTTATTGAAAATTCTTCTAGGTAACAGTAGAATCTTTCTGATTTCCTTTAAACTAATAATTTATTATGCAGGCCCTTAGTCAGCATATAGATCAACTGGAAAGCAATATCAAGCAGATGAAGTTGGATCTGGTATGTAACTTTTCATTAGGATTTTTTGGGGGGGTATTGCACTGTATTATTTCCACAGCATCTGAGTTAATTTCTGGATGCATAGCAATATATATCATCAAAATTATGGCACTCTTGGTGGTTCCTTTCCTTTTCTTGATGACATTTCCTTTGGAGTTCTATAGATGCATTACAGTTGCTCCCTCAGCCTTCCTTAATCCCTTTATTTCATCAATATTTAGTAATTGCCATTTAGTTGTAGCAGTCCCTTGGACTTCCATGCTAGATTCAACAGAGGTGTGCCAGATAAATGTAGCTACACTAATGAATATCTACTATGATGTAAAACAAAACAGGGTATTGAGGACTATGAGGAACGAGATGAGGATAGCTCAGATTCAGAAAATGAATATGGCATGGCAGTCACCTCTGCTAGCTATGATGAGGTATGCATCCTTTCCCAAACCGCATGCTGTCTGTTTCTGAACCACCATAAAGTTCACCCTTCCCTTCGGTGTCGCCAGGATCAAGATGATTTTGATGAATCAGCTGTTGAAGATGAATATGATGATTACGATGACGACGATGAAGATGAGGAGATTGACAGCTAGTGATTTGGAATTGTTTCTTGTGATGTGCTGAATTAATGATTCTCTGGACAGTGGTACTACTGTTTCTGGGACATTCGTGGTAAGAGAAAACACAGTTGCTTCTTTGGTTCACTGGTCGTCTGGTCCTTTTCTGTGTTTATATAGGATCGCAAAACAATATATGTAGAAAGTGTCACTCTTGCTGTTTATCTCTATATCTGTGGCATTATTTATCAAATCCAAGGGTAATATGTAGTAACAAGTCTCATTTATTTAGAGGTAAATCAACCAGACCTATGTGAGTGGATGGATATTGTTGTTGGTTTTTTTTTATAGAATACGTCGAGACCGAGATAGAAAAAGGCATTAAGATCAAGCATAAAAAGTACTGGAGAAAAAGTCAAATTCCCAGTATGCACAAATGTAGTCCTTCACCGCCTCCTATAGTCAAGGGCTATGATATGCGAATTCTCAAATAACTCAAATCTTTAGAAATACTTGTATAAACTTAATGCTCTCCCTATAGACCTTTGTTTTTTTTTTCTTGAGACTGACAGAGGTGGCATATTTTAAATCCTTTCCTGTGGTTTCTCTTTCTGTTGTGTATGTAGATCATGACCTGTTGCAGGACACAAGTTTACTGATGGACCATCATGACCGGTACGGCAGCGTCTGTGATGCATGTGCTCCGTTTGTTCTTGGAATCTGGCGTAGAAGTGTTGGTGCTGATCTGGGAAACTTGTCGCACGATGTAATTTACGAGATCTCCCTGCATGCTTACAGCATCCTCTTCTTTCCTTTTTGTTTTGCCTTCTCATTTTGTGGCTATATAACTTATAAGAGGGCTTAGGACTTAGGAGGTGTTTCCTTTTCCCCATTCCGCTCCAGAAAATATACCTGGACGCAAGCATTGTGTAACAAATTCCAGGCCAAATACTCAAATTGTACACCGGTACAAGATAAAATTGGCCAACAAGTAACTGAAGGATGCCCCACTGTTCAAACTTCTCTCTTCACCTATAATAAATATATATAATATTGGGGTGTGAGTCTCATTTCTTCTTCTTTTTTCTGAAACTCGTGTGAGTCTCATTTCTGTTCTTCTCGACGGACCTCGACATGCATCCATCCAATTGGCGGCGGCGGCCAGCCAATCAGCTAGAGTATTTGTTGACCTCAAGCCAATCAGCTAGAGTATTTGTTGACCTCAAGGTTTAATTTCCAAGTTTCAACCAGTCCTATCTCGTGAAGGACAGTAAAGTGTAGAGAGACGACTGAATGAATATTGGGAAGCTTGGCTCAGATTAATCTGCCCCCAAAAGACCATCATGCAACTGGGCTTCTTGCAGATACTAGCAACCACGTAGGAGCGGCGGCCGAGAGCACCCGGTGTGGGGGTGGCGCCGTGGTGTCTGCTGCTCTCTGCTCATGCATGCAGCACGGCGCGGGACGGCGGGAATGCGGGAGCGGGAGTGCAGGTGCAGCGCAGGAATCGTCAGGATCCTGAGTTCGTCAGCTTCTCTCGGCCCTTTGCGCATAGAGGTGGCTTGCCTCAACTCCACCCAGGCCCAGGTGCCTCGAAACCGTTGTTGGGCCCAATACAAGGTGGAGCTTTCCTTCCGGCCTGCGTGTCTTTTGGCCCATGTACGAGTTCCGGTTGTCCTTGACCTTGAAGATTAGCGATTGCTTCGACCTGACAGCGCGAGCGAAGCTGCGAAGGTGATAGATTCCAGCAGTGACTAGAGACTTTCAAAAACAGCCCTTTTATATGAAATTATTTCGGTCTCTACATAGTCTATGCACTCAACGACAAGACATAACTGTAGTCTGTAGTCCTAGCAAAGCAACATAATTTTGTAGGGAAAAAAACCAAAGCCGCAAAACAACAAGCATTCTACCTCTCTGGCTTTGCTACTACACGGTTTTCTGTTCAAACATCCTTTTATGACCTCGTACTTGTACTTTAATTGAATGCTATTTTCAACAACAACAGTATAATATTTTTTCCCATGTTCGCTTCACTTATAAGCCGTATTTTTTTAGCCAACGAACAATATTTTTCTCTCACAACAAATCAGCCAACAGTACTTTCAGTCATGGCTTATCAGCCAAGCGAACAGGGCAACAATTATTGGAAGGAACCCACACATATTGTACTCTTAGTCCTAGTCTCTAAAATGTAGTTGTAGCTGGACGCTGAACCGCATGGGGGCAAGTTGGGTGGAGCCAGCCATTGACCATGCATGCATTCCTGCTGTCCTTGCGCGCATCTTGGCAATTGGCATGCATGCTCGATGCTCCACACACTACTACTACAGAAAATCTTTTGCACAACATTTCCATCTGGGGCTCTGAGGCGATCGGTCTGGTTGCTCGCCTTGGTTATTCGAGGCAAGGCAGCCAGGCCAGCAACCGCCTCAGTTAAGGATTAACCGAGACGGGCACCATAATATAACTGTTTCGGTTAATGCCTATTAACCGAGGCGGGCATTATAACGCAACCGCCTCAGTTAAATTAACCGAGGCGGTCACATTATAAGGCCCGCCTCTGTTAAATAGTGGCCCAGACAGCCCATCTAGGCCCGGTAAAGGGTTCCTAGTGTATATACCGCAAGCAGTAAACCCTAACTTCCATCCCCACCTCTCTCTCTCTCAGTCGCGCCGCGCAGCGGCACCCCTCCCTCCGACTCCCTCCTCCACTCTCTCTCACTCACTCTCTCTCTCCTCCACTCTCTCTCCGTCGCGAGCGGGCGCGGCGATGCGGGCTGGGCATGGTGGAGCAGGCGCGGCCTCTCCGTCTCCTAGCAACGCGCGCCCCCTCCCCTCCTCTCCTAGCGGCAGCATGGAAAGCGAAGTCGAGGCGGGCCTGGTGGGAGGTGGGCGGCGCGGCGGCGCGGCCTTCCTCCTCCGGCGGTGCGCGCTGCCTCCTCCTCCTCCGGCGTGGCCACGTGGCCCCCTCCTCCTCGGCGGCGCCCTCCCCCCCCCTCTCTCTCAGGCCCCTCCCGGACCCCAGATCTGACGACGAGGGCGAGGAGGAGCCCGGATCCGGCGGTGGGGAGGCCAGATCCGGCGAGCTACGGCGGTGGCGGTGCGTGGATGGGCTCGACGGGTCCGTGGATGGGCTCGCCGGACCTGTCCATGGATTTTTCTTTTTTTGTTTTTTAATTGATTAATCGAGGCGGACATTTCAACCGGCTCAGGAAAGATCCATTTACCGTGACCTTTTCACCGAGGCGGATGCGATGCCCGCCTCGGTTAATCACTTTTGTTTGTCTCAGTTAATTTTTCTGTAGCAGTGACATCAACCCAGGCTAATGTTTTCATGTGAAATCAGTGCAAAGTATATTGGCCGATGCCGAACAGCTAGTCTAGCTGCTACTTGCTTGCCACGCGAGCATGCAGATGCAGGCGACGACCTAGCTAGGCCACGCTAAACAATTGAGCAACTTGGTCAATCGGGTGTCGCATTGTGACGCCGCTCGCCCTGCAAGCCGGGAGGCCGCATCATGATCACGAGGGAGCAAAATGGGCAGGATAATGCTCTGGACCTCGTCACTTGATTCCTAGTTCACCGTTCGCGTGTCCTTAAATTCAGTTTGATCCGTTTATTTTTTCATCCGGAACAGTGTTTTTCTCTCACAAATTTCACCAGCATTCGTCCAAACCATCAAGATTCCTCCAGAATTCAGACAAGCGAACAGGCCCAATGGGCAGTGGTACGTGTAACGTACCTATATGCCCGGATCTTTCTCATCCAAAACACTGCCATGTGGTTAAAAAAGAACGATAATGATATGATTAAGACGTCCAGACCACTACGTCATATGGACAGTGGTACGTGTAACATACCTATACGCCCGGATCTTTCCCATCCAAAACACTGCCATGTGGTTAAAAAAGAACGACAACGATACGATTAAGACGTCCGGACCACTACGTCATATAGTATTTGTAGGGACGGCTCTAGAGGCTTTGTAGAGGCGGTTTGTCCAGCCACCCCTACCCAAGCGCCTCTACAAATCATGCATTTGTAGGAGCGGTTTACAGACCATCCCTATAAATCGATTTGTAGAGGCGGCTGGTGTTTTCAGATGCCTATAAAAATCAATTTCCAGAAATTATGAAAAAGGGGGAAAATAGCAAAAATAATAATAATCTGAGGAGGTCCCCACCGGCAGCCACACACCCACTCTATGGTTGCAGCATTTTTTCACGATTTTTGCACACTTTGCGTCGGCAAGGATTCAAACCCGCAACTTCTCCCTCGCGCGCAAACTCCTCTACCACTGCACCTCACGATCACTTGTGTCTACGATCCATTTTGGTTCCCCACATATTATACAAAATTGAGCATAAATTGATTTTTTGAGGTCCTAAACTAATTCAAATGAAAAAATTGTCAACTACAAAGTTTTATAACTTTTCGAGATCTACAACTTTTATTTAGATAGTTTCTCCATCCGATGTCACTTATAAAATTTGAATTTCAAATTTGAGAAATTCATACGTAGTTTTCCATGACAAGATGATTTCAAATGAGAAAGTTATCAACTACAAAGTTTTATAACTTTTCAATATCTACAACTTTTATTTTTACTGTTTGTTCATCCAAGGTCGTTTAAAAATTTTAAATTTAAATTTTTTGGAAATTTAAACGTAGTTTTCCTTGACAAGATGATTTCAAATCAAAAAGTTGTCAACTACAAAGTTTCATAACTTTTCGAGATCTACAACTTTTATTTTGGTTGTTTCTCCATCCGAGGTCGTTTATAAATTTTGAATTTTAGTGCTTAATTTTTAATACTCGGCGTCTATTTGTAGGGGCAGTGTAGGGGCGGCTGGATATAGAGCCGTCCCTACAAATCGAGCCATTTGTAGGGGCAGCTGATAACACCGGCCGTCCCTACAAATTCATTTGTAAGGGTGGCTCATTTGGCAACCATTTGTAGGTACGGCTCAATATAGAGCCGCCCCTACAAAGAAAGAGAGGCGTTGCCACAAATCATTTTTATAGTAGTGGA